ATTATCAATATTTATCATTCCTGTAAGTTTGGTTGAAGACCAGGTATAATTATGCAGTATTAGTATAATTTAATGCAGTCATTTATAAATCATGACTTAAGAACATGTAATTATCAATAAGATATTGTGAAGCACTACATGTATATAGTCATAATTATATATAATAATACATGTAATTGTAATTTGGATTCTGCATACCAGGTTTTTGTTACAAATCACTTAATTTATTTTTCCTTTTTTTACAGGAATGTTCTAGGTCATGGATATTAAGCAGAAAGCCTTATGTAAGAAGACACCAGGATAGAAACAAAACTCTGGACAATTTAATGTGAACATTTTTTCAAATACATAGGTCCTGTAAATGTGTTATTAATTTGATACATACAATTCATACTACAATGTACATACTCCAAAGACAAATATTCCTATCTTTGCTTCTTATTCTGTATTTTTATTTCAAAAATGTGATTTGATTAAAATCAATGCAAGTTTTCAAAATGTGTTTTATTCATTTTTTTCTCTCCCGTTATAAAATGACTAAAATACATAGTAAGTTAACTTAGTAAATATTTTAAAATAACTTTCCAAGAATTTATTTCTCTGTGAGTTTTCACTCAGGAATTCTGGTTCAGATTCATATTCAGAATCTGATATTACACTTGTAGTTTATTCTCAAATTCAAGATATGTTTACTTGTGTTATGAATGAGAGTTCACAGAACTACATTGTATTAGATTCCAAAATCTGCATACATGCCCCCACCCCCTCTGGATTCAGCTTGAATATCACATGTACATTTCAACTTTATTTCAAGGTGTTTATAACAGTTCATCATGCATGTGTAACCAGATGCTTTTGTGCTCATTTGAAATGTAAATGGAAAAGATTTTCATAAATCACTTTGTAAGCAGAGGAGCTTTGACCCCCCTACACACACACACACACAAGTACATTGTAAATGTGCAACCACCTCCAGGCTCCTCCTCATATTACATGTAGTCTCAGGCACTGGGAACTAGAATTTTCTCCTCGGATTGAATGTATTTGACTCAGTGCATCTCAAAAAGTGAAAAAAATCTATAAAGTAAAAACTTTGTACATTAATGTATATTATACTTGGGGAGCTGTCTTAGAGATGTGTAACTGGGGATGGTATTCAACCTGGCCTTTAAGCCTTCCAATGATCCCTCCACTACTGATTCTGGTGCAAGATATTAATTTAGTTTGTTACTGTACTGTCTAGATCTTAGCATGGCATGTGATGTCCTCAAGTTCTGCAATCACTTGCTGTGAACTATACTACTGGAACTGCTTAACAGCCTGTAGATATGCTCTGTGTCACCAAGGTAGACAAGTGCTCGCATGTATGAAAACAGTGTAACAGTAATATGTCTAACATATGTAATTGTTTACATCTATACATTGAATTGTCATATATTAAAATCAGCTTTTAAAACATTTTGAATGTCAGAAGTATTTAATGCTCAGTGTATACAAAAAGTGTAAGACATATGACCAAAATAATTTGCGAAGCTTATTTTTAGTTACGGAAACCTGTATCGCGGAAACGACATATTCCGCTCGTACTATTGTCTATTTTACGATAAATAAACAATAATAATTAGATGTAGACAAGGTAATTGTAGCAAATATTTGTTCAATTTTAATTCTATATACCGACCGCATATACAGGAACTACACAACAAACAGTGAAATCAAGCACAACACGTTTGGAATGGTGCGCTAGCATTGTGTACGGAAATATAATTTCGTGTATAAAACCGGACCCGGAGGCGGTCCAAAGATATATGGATCCGGAATACGAATCGGAACTTCGAAATATTGATTTTTATTTAAGTTCCGAGCATTAATGCTATTTGATTTTTATGTATATCAAAATATAAGTGTTGGGACACGATAAAGTATTATATTTTTGACGGTATTGATAATAATATGACATAATTTTGCCCTTTACGCATTAAAATAGGAATAGGCAAAATGGGGTGCATGGGGGAATGGCGTTCTAACTTCAAGTGAGCGAAATTGCAAAATTTTCACCGGGAACCCCACATTTTTTTATGCTTACCGAAAATCATATATACTTGGCTGTCTTCTGTAAAAGTTTTATAAAATTGACATGGGTTTTATCGCATTTTTGCTTGTTTTTAATGCATTCGTTTGATGTAAATTTGTTAAAATTACATTTTGAAGAGAATAGATGGCCATGAAAAATGCATAAATATACCAAATGTAATCATTTTTGTTTTATTTCTGCTTTTTAATAGTACATCACGAGATGTGTAAAAAATATTCAACTTTGTGGTAACTCAAATTTTGCAAATATTATAGAAAACAAATTTTTATTTAATTTTCATATTTTGGGGGAAATTTGCAGAAAAGTAGCTACCTTACTGCTGATATATCTCAAAAAGTAAGTCGAGAACCCCCTTTTTTCTTTTCATATATGGAATCTACGTAAAACAAGCAAGAAAATAAGCCTAATTAGAAAAAAATGACATGGGTTTTTCCAAAAGGATGGACCCACCTTAACACACTTCTTTGTTAAGCCTACTGTACATGTAATGTTAACAAGTGTGGCTTCTCCCCCTTTCTCATGCTTCGGTAGCATCTCCCTCCGATTGCCACCTCCGCTTGGACATCATTTTTTGTTAAATTTAGGTTGTGGACATAGCCCTCTCTAAAATAAATAGTTCCCCTGGATAAACATTTTTCAGAAATGTTTGCATCTTGAATGTATCCCATACAAAAATCATCGGGAATGTCCCCGAGTCCTGCAACAGTCGCTGCCGCCATCGCCATGGGCAAAATTTTACTATGGCTTGTTTACATTTGTTGTCGGAGTATGTAGTCACGTGATTTTGGTTGCTACGTGGGGGCTGGGCATGGAAGGGTGAATTGCGTTGAGTATCCCATTCAAAATGGCGCTCAGCCTTGTTGTCAAGTGTGACGTCATTAGGATATGGCGCTAATGATTACGCTCCTGATTCCCGCCCTTTTTTAATGCATTACATTTTTCATGTTTTATAACTTAAAAATGTAATAAATAGAAAATTCAATGGTGTCTTCAGTAATAACAAATATATTTCACTCGTGTGCCTAATATTTTGATATTACACAAGAACGAGTGCGCAACACGAGTGAAAAATATCAAAATATTAGGCACACTCGTGAAATATATTTGTCATTACTGACGACACCATCAAATATCCTCTATATCTCCGAAGAAAGTCGGCAACTCACAGTATCCATACACTGGTGGTAATAGATAATGAACTTAATATCCGACATATGGAATCTGGGTTTATTGGTCACAACAACGATATGTGCACACATTTAGGCTGAGGACACAGATTGGTTATAAAGGGTTGGCATTGGATCTACTGCCAGGTTGCTACATTCTGGGAGACCCTATAATAACACCATTTAACTCCGCGCATATTCATCGTCAGCCGATGAGAAACTAAAACCGCCTTCGTCTATTTAGTAGGGCAATTCGAAGGTATAGAGTGTTTGTAGAGCACATGATTGACAAAATAAAGATTTTCGCTGTGCTTGGCACTTTGTTTCGTCACAGGAGAGAGACTATTATAGTTAGATCATTGTTCTGTGTGCTCGTCTTGCCCAGAGAAGGGCTGAGTTATGCTTAATATCAAGATATTGCTTGCTTGCTGGGTTTTAGTTTTTTTTTACATGTAAGTACATGTATATCAAATAATGAGTTGGTGGTTGTGTACCCGAACGGAATACATTGTTTCATTTTGACACCCATGCTCGTCCGTAGTTAGCTGTGCATACCAAGGTACATTGAACACGTTCAGCCGTATAGTGATTGTGCGTTCACAATATGACCGGCCGGGAGACTCTATTGATACGGGACTCACAAAATATTCTGTTAATGATCACTCATACTGTACGTGTCGTGTTAATGGTAAACAATATGAATACATCTTAATGATGGTCGCTCCCCTTCAAATACGTATCCGTAATATACTGGGAGACCCTATAATAACACCATTTAACTCCGCGCATGTTAATCGTCAGCCGATCAGAAACTAAAACCGCATTCGTCTAGAGTATTTGTAGAGCACATTATTTACAAAATAAAGATTTTCGCTGTGATTGGCATGTGATTGGGCTCCCCTTCAAATACGTATACCTCTTATTGTAAGTATCGCTGATAGGACTTTAACCTTAATCAAACCAAACCAAATCAAAGCGAAACTCAGGGAGGTAACTGTATATATACGAGAAACCTTCGTGCAGTGGGGTAGTAATCCTTCATAATCATCTAATTATAAAGCAAATACTTATACAGTAATATGATTGGGAAAAATTGTACAATACCTGATAATGTGTATATCTTGCTGTATTGATGAGCACGTCATGTAAGACCGGGTGACCGGATGTCTATCAATGATGACCACACACAAATACACGAACGTGCGAAGGGCTATTGTTCTGTGACGGACGTGTATTAATTCTGCCGGCCATTGACATGTATACAGTAGTGCGGTGCACTGATTGGTAATTAGTCATATCTACCTACGCTACAACAGGAGTTTTTTAAATACCCCAATTGTTGTTTAACATGCCAGAAGATTGGCTTGATACGGTTCAAATTGAGCAACAGCATTGCTATCAGTGTGCTGTACGGAAGTGTGTTGTACGGATATGATTTTACGTCTACATTACTATCAGTGTGTTTTACGGATATAAATTTACGTCTACATTACGATCAGTGTATTGTACGGTTATTATTTTACGTCTACATTACTGTCAGTGTGTTGTACGGATATGATTTAACGTCTACATTACTATCAGTGTGTTTTACGGATATAAATTTACGTCTACATTACTATCAGTGTATTGTACGGTTATGATTTTACGTCTACATTACTATGTGTGTTTTACGGATATGATTTGACGTCTACATTACTATCAGTGATTTTACGTCTACATTACCATCAGTGTGTCGTACGGATATTATTTAACGTCTACATTACTATCATTGTGTTGTGCGGATATGATTTTACGTCTACTTTACTATCAGTGTGTCGAACGGATATGATTTAACGTCTACAATACTATCAGTGTGTTTTACGGATATAAATTTACGTCTACATAACTATCAGTGTGTTGTACGGATACTATCAGTGTGTCGTACGGAGTGTGTCGAACGGATATGATTTACCGTCTACATTACTATCAGTGGATTGTACGGTTAAGATTTTACGTCTACATTACTATCAATGTGTTGTACGGTTATGATTTTAAGTCTACATTACTGTCAGTGTGTTGTACAGATATGATTTTACGTGTATATTACTATCAGTGTGTTGTAGGGGTATGATTTTACGTGTAAATTACTATCAGTGTGTTTTACGGATATAAATTTACGTCTACATTACGATCAGTGTATTGTACGGTTATTATTTTACGTCTACATTACTAACAGTGTGTCGTACGGATATTATTTAACGTCTACATTACTCTCAGTGTGTTTTACGGATATAAATTTACGTCTACTTTACTATCAGTGTGTCGAACGGATATGATTTAACGTCTACATTACTATCATTGTGTTGTGCGGATATGATTTTACGTCTGCATTACCCTCGGTGTGTTGTACGGATATGATTTTACGTCTACATTACTATCAGTGTGTTGCAATTTGTACGGTTATGATTTTACGTGNCATTACCCTCAGTGTGTTGTACGGATATGATTTTACGTCTACATTACTATCAGTGTGTTGTACGGTTATGATTTGACGTCTACATTACTGTCAGTGTGTTGTACAGATATGATTTTACGTTTACATTACTGTCAGTGTGTTTTACGGATATAAATTTACGTCTACATAACTATCAGTGTGTTGTACAGATATGATTTTACGTGTACATTACTATCAGTGTGTTGTACGGATATGAATTGACGTCTACATTACTGTCAATGTGTTGTACGGATATGATTTAACGTCTGAATTACTACATGTATCAGTGTGTTGTACGGATATAATATTACGTCTACATTACTATCAGTGTGTTGTACGGGTATGATTTAACGTCTACATTACTATCAGTGTGTTTTACGGATATAGATTTACGTCTACATTACTATCAGTGTGTTGCAATTTGTACGGTTATGATTTTACGTGTACATTACTATCAGTGTGTTGTACGGGTATGATTTAACGTCTACATTACTATCAGTGTGTTGTACGGAAATGATTTTACGTCTACATTACTATCAGTGTGTCGTAAGGATATGATTTAACGTCTACATTACTACATTACTATCAGTGTGTTGTAGGGGTATGATTTTACGTGTAAATTACTTACAGTGAGTTGTACGGATATGATTTTACGTCTACATTACTATCCGTGTGTTGTACGGATATGATTTTACGTCTGCATTACTATCAGTGTGTTGTACGGATATGATTTAACGTCTACATTACTATCAGTGTGTTTTACGGATATAAATTTACGTCTACGTAACTATCAGTGTGTTGTACAGATATGATTCTACGTGTACATTACTATCAGTGTGTTGTACGGGTATGATTTAACGTCTACATTACTATCAGTGTGTTGTACGGTTATGATTTGACGTCTACATTACTGTCAATGTGTTGTACGGATATGATTTAACGTCTGAATTACTACATGTATCAGTGTGTTGTACGGATATAATATTACGTCTACATTACTATCAGTGTGTTGTACGGAAATGATTTTACGTCTACATTACTATCAGTGTGTCGTAAGGATATGATTTAACGTCTACATTACTACATTACTATCAGCGTGTTATAGGGGTATGATTTTACGTGTAAATTACTTACAGTGAGTTGTACGGATATGATTTTACGTTTACATTACTATCAGTGTGTTGTACGGTTATGATTTGACGTCTACATTACTGTCAATGTGTTGTACGGATATGATTTAACGTCTGAATTACTACATGTATCAGTGTGTTGTACGGATATGATTTTACGTCTGATTTTACGTCTACATTACTGTCAGTGTGTTGTACGGATATGATTTTCCGTCTACATTACTGTCAGTGTGTTGTACGGATATGATTTTCCGTCTACATTACTGTCAGTGTGTTGTACGGATATGAATTGACGTCTACATTACTGTCAGTGTGTTTTACGGATATGATTTTACGTCTGCATTTCTATCAGTGTGTTGTAAGTAGATGATTTTACGCTTACATTACTATCAGTGTGTTGTACAGGTATGATTTTACGTCTACATTACTGTCAGTGTGTTGTACGGATATGATTTAACGTCTACATTACTATCAGTGTGTTGTACGGGTATGATTTTACGTCTACATTACTATCAGTGTGTTGTACGGAAATGATTTTACGTCTACATTACTATCAGTGTGTCGAACGGATATGATTTAACGTCTACATTACTATCAGTGTGTTGTACGGAAATGATTTTACGTCTACATTACTATCAGTGTGTTATAAGGATATGATTTTACGTTTACATTACTATCAGTGTGTCGTACGGATATGATTTTACGTCTACATTACCCTCAGTGTGTTGTACGGATATGATTTTTCGTCTAAATTACTATCAGTGTGTTGTACGGATATGATTTTAAGTCTACATTACTATCAGTGTGTCGTACGGATATGATTTAACGTCTACATTACTATCAGTGTGTTGTACGGTTATGATTTGACGTCTACATTACTGTCAATGTGTTGTACGGATATGATTTAACGTCTGAATTACTACATGTATCAGTGTGTTGTACGGATATAATATTACGTCTACATTACTATCAGTGTGTTGTACGGATATAGATTTACGTCTACATTACTATCAGTGTGTTGTACGGAAATGATTTTACGTCTACATTACTATCAGTGTGTCGAACGGATATGATTTAACGTCTACATTACTATCAGTGTGTTGTACGGATATAGATTTACGTCTACATTACTATCAGTGTGTTGTACGGGTATGATTTAACGTCTACATTACTATCAGTGTGTTGTACGGAAATGATTTTACGTCTACATTACTATCAGTGTGTCGTAAGGATATGATTTAACGTCTACATTACTACATTACTATCAGTGTGTTATAGGGGTATGATTTTACGTGTAAATTACTTACAGTGAGTTGTACGGATATGATTTTACGTCTACATTCCTATCAGTGTGTTGTACGGATATGATTTTACGTTTACATTACGATCAGTGTGTTGTACGGTTATGATTTTACGTCTACATTACTGTCAGTGTGTTGTACGGATATGATTTTACGTCTACATTACTGTCAGTGTGTTGTACGGATATGATTTTACGTCTACATTACTAACAGTGTGTTGTACGGATATGATTTTACGTCTACATTACTATCAGTGTGTCGTACGGATATGATTTAACGTCTACATTACTATCAGTGTGTTGTACGGATATAGATTTACGTCTACATTACTATCAGTGTGTTGTACGGATATGATTTTACGTCTACATTACTTTCAGTGTGTCGTACGGATATGATTTAACGTCTTCATTACTACATTACTATCAGTGTGTTGTAGGGGTATGATGTTACGTGTAAATTACTATCAGTGTGTTGTACGGATATGATTTTACGTTTACATTACTATCAGTGTGTTGTACGGATATGATTTTACGTCTACGTTACTATCAGTGTGTTGTACGGTTATGATTTTACGTCTACATTACTGTCAGTGTGTTGTACGGATATGATTTTACGCTTACATTACTATCAGTGTGTTGTACAGATATGATTTTACGTCTACATTACCCTCAGTGTGTTGTACGGATATGATTTTACGTCTACGTTACTATCAGTGTGTTGTACGGTTATGATTTTACGTCTACATTACTGTCAGTGTGTTGTACAGATATGATTTTACGTCTACATTACTTTCAGTGTGTTTTACGGATATAAATTTACGTCTACATTACTATCAGTGTGTTGTACAGATATGATTTTATGTGTACATTACTATCAGTGTATTGTACGGTTATGATTTTACCTCTACATTACTATGTGTGTTTTACGGATATGATTTGACGTCTACATTACTGTCAGTGTGTTGTACGGATATGATTTTACGTCTACATTACTGTCATTGTGTTGTACGGATATGATTTTACGTCCGCATTTCTATCAGTGTGTTGTAAGGATATGATTTTACGCTTACATTACTATCAATGTGTTGTACAGGTATGATTTTACATCTACATTACTGTCAGTGTGTTGTACGGATTTTATTTTACGTCTACATTACTATCAATGTGTTGTACAGATATGATTTTACGTGTACATTACTATCAGTGTGTTGTACGGGTATGATTTTACGTCTACATTACTATCAGTGTGTTGTACGGGTATTATTTTACGTGTAAATTACTATCAGTGTGTTGTACGGATATAATTTGGCGTCTACATTACTGTCAGTG